AGAACATCGCCTTACCACCCCCAAGGCAACCCAGCTGAATGGTTGAACAGCACCATACTCCAGATGCTGAGAACATTGACAGAATGCGAGAAGCTGCGGTGGAAGGATTACCTCCCCATGTGATGCAAGCATATATATATATATATACATAAAAATATACAATTGTACCGGACATGAATCTACTGGCTATTCACCTTTTTTTCTCCTCTGGGGAAAAGAGTGGTAGGGTTTAAAACATTGCATCTTTTTACAGTGATGTTAGGCATTTCTAAGAGTACAGTGTTGTATCTTAACCATCGTGCTGTGGAGAGATGAGAAGTTTTTTGTTCAAGTAAAATCATGGACACAGCATGTGGGACCAGGAGAGTTACATCAGAGTAGCCCACAATGTCTCTGGAGGCCATGATTGCCTTTTCAGCAGCGGCTACAGTCCTAAGACATCTTGGAAGGCCTGCAGCTACGGGATCGAGTTTTGAAGAAAAATAAGCTACAGGGCGTAGTGTATTACCATGATCCTGCAGCAACACAGAAACCATGTATCCATTTTTATCATCCACGGTTTGAGTGAAAGGTCTGATAGGGTCAGGTAGACCCACAGTTGGGGTGGTCTGTAAGGCAAGCTTTATGTTGGTGAAAGACTGTTCTGCTTCAAGAGTCCATGTGATCTTATCTTGTGCCTTTAGACCTTTTCCATGAATGAGGGAGGAGAGTGGATCTTCGAGAATGGCATAGTTAAAAATGAATTGTCTACAATAAGAGCACATGCCTAGAAATGACATCATCTGTTTTTTTGTAATGGGTTTTGGAAGATTCTGAATAGCATCTATTCTTTTTGGTGAAAGAGTCTTTCCTTCAGAAGTAATGACATGACCTAAGAAAACAACTTTTTCTTGGACAAATTTAAGTTTTGACAAGCTGACTTTGTGACCACCGTTAGCCAGATGTTTCAAGAGTTTTACTGTGTCGGCTTCACACTGCTCTCTGGTTGGACTGCAGATCATAAGGTCATCAACGTACTGTAACAAAGCAGAGCCAGGGGAGAGAACAAGGGGTTCAAGACTTTGTCTGAGAGCTTCATTGTAAATGGTGGGACTTTCACAGTAACCTTGGCATAGGCGACTGAAAGTGTAGCCTCGCTTATTGAAGTTGAAAGCAAACCAGAATTGGCTTTCTGGGTGAACTGGAACGCTAATCATTAGAAAGATCCACCACTGAAAAGAATTTTGCATTAGGTGGAACTTGAGACAGGATAGTATAAGGATTTGGAGCATTTGGTGCTCTGGGCTGGACTGCTGCATTTACTGCTTGTAGATCCTGCACGAAACACCACTCTGTTGGCTGATCCTTATCTCTGATTTTCTTGACAGGGAACAAAGGTGTGCGCACTGGAGAGTTATCACATGGACAAATTACTCCTGCAGCTTTAAGAGACTCAAAGACCAGTGTTATGCCATTGATGGCTTCTTGTTTAAGCGGATATTGAGCCTTGCAAGGTCTGAAGTCTGATTTTGGAGTTCACAGTCTTTGATGAGGCCAAGGTCTTAGGGAGCACCTGTAGGACTGGAATAGCTCTGGATTGATTTTCGGACAAAAAAGAAAAAGATTTTGAAGTGCTTTTTAGGTACCAGCTGGATTGTTTTTTTAGTGTGCACAACAGATGAAAAACTCTTAGAATAACACTGCAGTGTTGGTGAGAAAAAATAGAACGATCCGATGTTACTATTTTTTTTTTTTTTCTTTTTTACAAAAGGGCCCAAATCTTCCCAATTATTTGATGTGTGTTTAGAAAGTGTGATGTGTGGGACCTAATGGTCTATGGTGTACACATCACATTAAGCTGGTGTGAGAGAGACTGATACAGCACATTTATCTGGTGTCCAATAAATGTGTGTCAGTGTGTGGTTATCGAATCTCTCTCTCAACCAACCTTCCTCATATGGCTCATCAGGTCCTGGTGACACGAGAGGTGCAATGCAGATCTTCTGGTGTCATGAAATCTATTGTAGCTGTTGAAACAGTTTTTCTAGCCAAAGTAACAAGCTCAGAGGAGGTTGATGGTTGTAATTTCCATTGATATGCATACTGTAGGTCTGAGGTGTGGTGAACAAGACAGTGTGAGAAATTGGCTCCAGATCGGAGAGTCTGTGAACTTTTACACCTTCTGGAGTTGAGATCAGACAAAGGCTTAATTTGCACATCAAGTCTCTGCCCATCAGATTAAAGGGACAGACTTGAGAGTGTGGTGGCAATTTCGGTGAAAGAAGCACAAAGTCAGACACTTCTTTCTGAAAGTTTAACTCAGCATCTGCAGATGGACTCATCAGTACACATCACCTGAATGACATGCACAAACGAGCAAAGAACATGGGAGAATCTGTGTTCTTATAACTCGCAGCCCTCTCCTACTAAGCATGCAAAGTTATTAATTACCCTCCTGTAGTTTCACTCAGTGGAGGAGACATCCTGGCCATTTGTTTACATGTTCTGTGGATGACCCCCCCTGTGAGATCCCAGTTGTTTGATCCCAATCAGAGATACCAAGAGATACCATAAAGATGTGGTTTCTCAAGGCCATAAAACTCAAGTCTCTTAAGCCACCATCATAAACCTTAAGGTTACCCTTTTAGATTAACAAATTGGTCAACTCTTTGGTCAGTCATTCACATACACGTCTGCTCATGCAATTAAACATGCACAAATGTAAAAAATTCCATTACAAGAGCAAGAATGCATGCTTGAAGGTTACATTTGTCCCATCCTCACATTTGAGTGGGATGGTAATGTTTTCTCTAATTGTTTGACCTGATGAACCAATAAGAGATCGATGAAAGGCGAGACACCAACGAAAACCTACCTGCTGTCACCACACCTGAAGAGCATGCTCACTCAGAGGTGAGGTGATCTACAAGAGATAGAAGGCCACAAAACTTCCTCACATATGAGACCTTGGTTGAACCCTCAGTGCACTCACATGCCACGGTTAACTCAGTAGTGGGGGGCACAGCACCATACTCAACTGCAGCTCATCACACGTCACCTTCACACCAACTATTTCCATTCATTTCACCCTTTTACATGCCATATACATCCTCCGTATTTCCCACCCATAAACCATACATGTTATATACTTACCACACACTGACTACTTACATTCCATCCACATTGTCTGTCTGCTAAATAGAAATATAAGTAAGACAGGGAAGAAGAGTTGAAGCTATAAGTTTGAGACAAAGGTTTGAAGAAAATGCCAGAAGCCATTTTTATTTTGTCAGGGAGTGTGTAATGTACACTAAAAGTATTAGCACATTTGTTATATTTTGTCTAAGTTTACTGTTAATAATCGTTTTAAGTGTGTGTTGTCTTTCGCCCCTTTTGGAAACTATCCTCTTTTGTATTACTTTTTGAAAGCAAAAACAAAATTATGTGACCAATATGATTGAGCCAATGCGGAAGGGCCAAGGGACTCCTACTTTGAAGGACGAGCTCCACTGCTTCTCATAGCTGTGAGGAAGAGGCAAGCCACATCTCCATGTCTAACTCTTGTCTCCTGTATTTCAGACAATATATAAATACAGCCGTTTATGGGTGCTACAATCCGGTACCTGTAACAAAAGCATAAAACATGCCATGTCTTGTCAACATGAGAGGGCGCTATGTTTATGACTGTATATACTGTATACTCATGTAGATGTGTTCAGAATTGGAAGCTTATCAAATCAATGAGAAGTCTTGTGCAGATTGGATAATGTACACTGAAGTTACAACTTCCTGTTTCACAGCAAAATATTAATATTCAATGCCACGCCACAGGGACAATTCTCTTAACAAAATCTTGTATAGAGCACAACTTTCATCAAGTTGTTTAGAATGCACTCACCTAGGATAAAAAATAGTAAATTCAATAGAGAGAATAAAGAATTTGGTAGATTATCAGGATATATTGACAATCAGTAGAGACAAATTTACCTGAGTGAGTTAAAATGACAATCATGCTTAGCATTCTATTTCAAACCATTCCAATATTTGTTGGCAAGTTGTTATTTAGAAAACCTGATAAAATTACCTCTTCGTCCAGTTGAGACAAGAACACGTTCTTGCACAGATAGAGGGAGAGTGGAGGGCTGACCATGTCAAATTAAATGCATTATTGACTGGTATACTCAACAAACAGCTTGGAGAACCAGAGACGAGGAGAGTAGTGGCCAGGGACCACATGCTCAAATTCATCACAAATGCATTAAATATGTAAACGAACAAGCATGCAACTGTTCCACATTATCTGCTTAATGTGCATATTACTGAGATTCATTTAAACCAGACAACTCAGTCATAGTATGATGTAGAGGTTAATAATAGCTGACCATTCTGAAAGAACACATTGTGTGATTCCTGTAATCTCACTAAGGCGCAAACACTTTACTTGCTGAAATTGACACGATTGAGAACATCACTAATATCAGGTGTTGGAGAGTATACACACAAGAAGACCAGGTGTTGCTTGGAATAAACAATGAAACGCATTTAACATAACACCGTATTTTAAATATCCATAGTCAGAATCATTGTTTTATATAACCACTAAATGGCAGGATATATGTGATCTGCAGGTTTCAAAGGCAGGGTAAATTTAACCTCAATTAACAAGTCTTCACAATCCAATGGCATTACTTTTATTTTAGCTTGTTGAATTTGATAAATACTGGATACCCTGTGTAAGGGAGAGAGAGAATGAGCTGCCTCTACTGTATGAATATATCCATGTCAATCAGTCATAATGGTATCAGGCAAACCCTGTTTAACCAGCAGGGTTTTCTGGAGGCACCTGTAACGTTTTATAGTCAAGGGAACAAATCATGACAGATAACAAGTGAGTCTTCTGATAATCAGAAATGAGCCATAAGACAATGAGTCAAGATTTATGAGAGTCAGATGAAGATGGAAAATAGTGACAACAGAAAATTATTCAATGAATGGATGTGAGTAATCACCGAGTCAGCAGGTTAGTTCCACCGTACAGAATGTATTTAAATCGCCAAAAGCTGTTACATTGTCAATAATCTTTGGTAGATATGAGCTGCAATAATAACGTAATGGTTATGATCCACAATAATGCGACAATGCAGTTCCTAGTCATATCACGCCACAAGCCCTTGACCCTCACTGTAAGTGTATCATTAGCTGAGCCATCACAGAGTAACCAATACAGAGAAGTCCAGCGATGGAATGGATATTCTCCAAAACAAATGATGTCCATATTGTGCTTCAATTACAGTTACTGTAACATACTGTATTTGACTTCCCCAAAAAAGTTATAAAATCCATCAATTAAAAACTAAAAAAGAACAAAAAATAAGAATATAGTATTGATTTCTATCATTTGTTATAATGTGAAAATTAGTAGACAATATTCTAGCAGTTAAAAATTAACTTTAATCTTTTTTCATTTAACATAGAAACGTGTATTTCAGTCCCTGAATACTGTATACAGAATTTGGTGTTGATTAAAAGTCAGAATAAATAAAACCCTTCATTAACCTTTACACCAGCATAACATCAAACAGGGTAGTTTTAGCTGTGTGCACATAGTAGTACTCTCATTCACGGATTTTCTTCAGGTCAAACATTTTTGATGAACTACAACATTGTAAATTCAAAAGACTGAAATATTGTACTACCACCACACAAACTGAACATTTGATCAAATTGAGCTGGAAGCTGGAATGAGCAACTTTATTCAAACATTAGTCACCCAAAGCAGCAAAAAGAAACACTAAACAAAAAAAAACACATCTCTATTTTCAACATTGGTTGAGTCAGTCTAATGAGTAAGTCTAAAAAGTTGAGTATTACATCTTTATAGCGTGGCAGACTTAGAAGAAGTCTACCGCCGAAGGCCGTCGTTCAGGTGTGGTTTTTAGACTATTCAAACTTTTCTTCTTGTTGAACTTGGGGGTTGTCTTCAGGTTGGTTGAGCCTGGTGTTGGCGGAGACTTTAAGACCCCAGACTTGGGTTTTTGTTTTGGGTCAAAGGGCACTCGTGATGACCCGTCTGGACTCACCAGCAGGCTGCGATCTGTTTTCCTAAACTCTGCATTATGGACGGTAACAAGGAAAGGTGACAAGGTGTTACTCAATTTACCTAGAACATCTTTTACTCTCATTCCAAAGTTATTAATCTTAAAAGAATCACACACAGATTAAAAAACGAAGTCTTAACCTTGGAAACAACCAATGAGAATATTGACTCTGCACATTGTGTATTTAGTTACAAGCAAGCTTCAACATCCACAGGACAACCAGTCTACAGAGTCGTGTTCAACAAGTAGAAAAACAGATCTCACATATGGTAAGTTATAAATATTTTGTTATTTTTGCTTTTATGTTTTTTTTACCATTACTTTTAGTGTTTTTTTCCCCATTACATACATCATGAAAACAAATTCAAAAAATAATTTGTAAGACAAGGGTGAAAAAGTGCTGCCCATAAAGCACTGCATGAATGTGCATGTGGATGGGTGCATGGCAATAACGTGTACTGTATAGCGCTTTGATTGGTCATCAAGACTAGAAAAGTGCTATATAAATACAGACCATTTACCATTAGTAGGGGAATTGAGAAAAAAAAACCCATCTACCTGAGACACAGAGGAGCGCAATGGTAGTTCAAGACAAAACTCCTGTGACAGTAACCCAGAGCACAGACTATTTTCCACTACACTACCTCACTGTGCACAGGGACACTTCCACATCATTTCTGAACTGAAACGATCCGACAGCATCCGAGCTGGCAGCCAAACAGGCTGTGTCGTGGTTCAGAGTCTCAGGTTGAAAACATCGGGAAGTTTGGTTGAAAAGCCAAAGTGATCCATAACCTCCGTAGTCAGTTAGGGACAGTGAGACACATAATTCAAGTGAACTGCATATACTGAAGGGACTGAATGTTACCAGGTGAATGTGAAGGAGCTAACAATAAAAAATAGGTCTAGGATTTAATATTTTATGAGCCAGTTCATCTCGTCACACGATGTAAATTTCAAATATTTACTATAAATATCTTACCAGCCGTTTTATTATTCTTGAGACCAAACGTCACCTTCTTGAATTCAGGAGTTTGACTCTTCTGGGAAATAAAAACACAGGAAAAAAAAACAACATAAAAATCAAGCACAGTTGCATATTGTACAACATAATTCAAATAACATTACAATCAGAGAATGGCTGAGCTGATCAATGAAGTAGTTTCCATTTATCTAAGGAGATACCAAAATTAATTGAATCTGTTCAGTAGGTAAGCCAGTTTTTTTTCATTACACTCCCCAGAACCTATTTATTCAGATGACCCCCACACAATTAATTTTTGTTTTCCAGCTAATTGCAGAGAACATGAAGTCTCTCCTGTAGCGGGATAAACAATATTTATGCCACCTCGTGTCTTGATGGCCAATAAAATGTCTCATTTTAAAGATATACAGATTAATTGAGGAACATGAGACCACTTTATCTTATGTTACATGGAAAACATGTCATGTTATTTATTTTTATGTAACATTTTCAAACAAAACTCTAGAATTCATTCTACTTTAACAGACTACGATGTTTCAAAAACCAGGGCCTCTTTGACAAGTTGCTAATTAAAATCAGTAAACATAAACACTGTCCAAAGTCATCACGTTAAAGTCCATTGTACAACTGCACAGCAATTAAAGCCAACTGAAAGAACATCAATTGACAGTGTACTCTATTTCACACCATTGAATAAATTAGCAGGCTACATATGCTTTACAGACTGGCTTAAACTCAATAATATATTAACTGAATTAGTGCAAAAATAGGGGCTCATTATGAGGTTACACAACCTTAAACCTGTAAACTTCAAACAAGGCTCAATCTGTGCTGCACAAATAGCTACAACAAACTTTGTAACTGCCAGGTGAAATGCAAAAAAAACAATCAAAGTGCACACAATTTAAACATCTTCAGTCCTTAGTGAAGAGAAGACTGGACCTTTAATGTGTGTCTGTCCTGATCCTGAAGCAGCCGTAGTTTTAATTATTTAGCGATGGACAACCGCTAAAACAATGAACGTAGTGGAAAACATGAATCGATTATGTCACAGCATCGATGCAGTAGCCCAAACTTTAGCACATGTGCTGCTGCCGGCTACTGCTCCTATGCTCTGTGTCAACCTTACCCTCTGTTTCTGACACTTAAAAAAAAACTTCTACACTGCAATGTTTATCCCACAACGTGATGACGTAAGGTGACATGATGCCCCCATGTAAGGCATATAGCCTTAAAATTGACTCATCTTGTCTCATTCCAAGCGTCATCTTATCGGCCTGTTGTATCCACAGAAATGTTAATTTCGGGCCAATGCCGATACGTCATATTACAGCCTTTATCGGCCGATATGACAGTATGCAGATATCATTGTGCATCCTCAAATTTTATATTATTCATAGTAGTATTACATTAATATTAAAATGTATTTCCTACACATGTGTTAGGTGTAGCTGCCCTGCCGAGGGAGAAATATTACAGTTTCTATTTCGAGGTGAGAGAGGAGAACGAAACAGCGATGTGAGTCATGCCACAGACCAATATTGTTTTCTAATTGATTTGAGATCATTTGATAAAGTTCCTACAATGTTAGAAAAACCGAAGGAAAGCTAGATAGTTTGTTTACACTGTGGTGGAATTAACTAGTATATCATTCCATCAATGATTCCCTATATAACCTTCTGCCTATTTTTCCTTATTGTTTGATTTTCCATACAGCAAATGTTTATTGGATCATGGTGGAGTAACTTTCTTGATTGACTATATTTCCTTTAAGCCAAATCCACAGCCAGCTGATAAGAATATTTCATCAAATGCTTTTTTTGTTACTGTTTATAAATAACAAAATTGTGACTGTTTAAATATTTTTGGAGATTTCACATCATATGACAGGCAACAATTTTGACTCGAATGTTTTATAACAAAGTCAAGCAGACAACATAAATAATCAGCGCCGGTTCTAGTGGAGAAGTTCAACAGCCAAGCAGCACTCATTGAAGTAGACAAAGTCCAATCATTTTATTCTTCTTCTATTAATGACTAGCTTTATGTCGTAACCAGAATTACAATTTAAACCTACCTTCATAGATTAATTCACTGATAACATTAGTTGCAGTTAACATTATCCCACTTTAACATTGTTTTATACCATCACCCATATTATCACCTTTCAATTGCATAGCTATAAATCCATATGATTTAATATTGCATAATTCATGTCTTATCCTATAATTCCCTTCCTAGTACATATTAAAGAGTTGAGAACATGGAGAGAATAATTCACATCTATGTGAAAAAGTGGTTAGGAGTCTAAGCAACATTGGTCTGTATGGACATGGCATCCTCAAGCTGCATATCTCAAGTCTTGTAAAGGAGTTTGAATGCACCAAGACAATACCAGAGATGATCCTCTTAAAGTCCCAAGACACATCTATATTGACGGTTGGAGCCATCACTGACAACAGGATGGAAATGGTCATCAAAAGAAGCAACTCAACAGTCAAAGCAGTACTCTAGTGTGCTGACAGTGTGGGCCACGTTCAACAGGACACTCTCAAAAAGTCTCTCCCAAGGTAGGTATAGGTGGTGATGCAACCAGGTACTCAAAATGCCTTTCAGCAACAACTGAAACAAAGAACTGCTATTAATGTCTTGCTATCCAAAACATAGAGCGCAGTTCAAAGGACAACATCTGTCTGCGAGGAGGAACAGGGACAGAGAGGGCCTCCTCCAGTGACCAGGCGTGGTCAGTTGGAGCAAGCTCGAGACCGGGAGATGTTGGTGGATGTGGGCCAGCAACTCACACTCCCATCCAATATTGTCACTACCACCCTGAGACATGACCTGATACTCTGGTGCAACAACCTGCTTCGTAGAATTGGCCCTGGGAGGATACTGTTGATGAAGCGAATGAGAGGAAAAAGCTGTGGTATGTAGACATGGCATTTAAGGCAGAGCAACATGGTTGGAAAGCAATAGTTTGCTCTATGGTGGTTGGCTGCAGTGGTTTCATTTCAACATCCACCATGAGGTAACTAAAATATCTGGGGATCAAGCACACCATAAAAGAAACATTGCACTGCAGAATGCTACAGGCAATGGCTCTGGATGAAGAGGAAAGATCCCAATACAGACCCAAGATGCTAGGGAAATTAAACTAGGTCTGATCAATATGTGATGGGCCTGCCTTAGAAGAGGGTGACGCTAAGGTAAACAACTGAAAACATGACCCTAACATCCGCTGTCAATAACATCTGATAACATCAACTGGTAATAGGCATTAATTATAATGGTAGAGCATACAAGGAATATTTAGTGTTAAGTTTAACTTATGATGCTAAGGCACACAACTGAGGTTTTGTCCCTAACATCTGCTGGCGGACGCCATCACCTGCTAACATCTATTGTTGGTTGGTAACTTAAATTGTGCAGAAGACCTTCAAAAGTACAAGGGATATTCACCATCTACTCCTATATTCTAAAATAGAGATCCATTCAATTGAGAATTCATGATTTAAGACTGATTATAAATGAAATTGTAGACATTTGTTCTGATAGGAGTGGGTGCCTTATTCATGCAAATTAATCTTAAAGCTGCAAATGGTGTTGGGACTTGCCCTTGACTTGCAGAAGAGTGGTGTAGGGGCTACAGTGTTGCTCTGAAAGGTAATGAAGTCAGACGCCAACCAAGAGGCAGTCATCAATTTCTTTTGTGAGGTTTTCACGCCCAGAGGTCTGGATAGCTCTTCAACATCCTAAGGAGGGAACCAATTATTTCAGGTACTTCAATCACTTCACCCCATCTGAACCATTTAACCTCATCACATACTCACATTTCCAGGTTTTGTCCACTTGGCACAAGTTTCCTCTTCTGCATTGATCATTGCATCCTCCTGTGCAGCAGGCATCAGCTGATTAACCTCAAACTCAAACACCACAGGGATCTTCCTCTTCTTATTTTTGGTCAGTTTCCTTTTGGAGAAAATTGCCTCGGTTTCAGCCAGGGGAAGCTCTAAATCTAGACTACCAACCATCTGCAGTCGGGTTTCATCTTTGAGCTGCCTTGTCTGAATTGGTGTCATTTTAGGAGTGTGTTTCTTCTTTGTTAATCTGGTGAGCAGTTTCTGTTCAATTTTCAGCTTGCCCTTTTTCTTCCTTTTAATTGGCACTGAAGTGGTATGTTGACTAGCTTCCGATGTGATCTCAGTATCTGAGTGTTTGTCCTCCACCTCAACCTGTGCATTCACCTTGAGACTCGTTATCTTACTCTTCCTCTTTCCATCACTTGGCTCTTTGAATTTGGTTTTGGCTTTGGAGCTCTCATTGTGAATCTGTGATTCACCCTCAGGTTTGCGCTCAGCCTTCATGCCCAACTTCCTCTTCTTGGCAGGGAATCTAGCATTAGTCTGCAGTGTTGTCACAGTTTCTTCTGCTGATGTCTTATAACCTACAGATGTGATCTCTGTCTCTGCACTAACCTGTAACAGAGTCTTCATCTCATTTGTTTGCTCCTCAGTTTTTAGGCTCTTCTTTTTATTCTTCTTTCCTGAGACTCGAGCAACTGTTTCAGGGGACATTTCTGGCTCTGTTGAAGTAAAGGTCTGTTGATCCTCGACTGCCACTATCTCAGGTTTGGACTCAGAAGTGTCCCCCTTTTTTTCCCTTGAAAGAGTTTCAGTTTGGTTCTTGTTGTCTTTAGTGCGGGACCTTGGTTGTGCAGCCTCTTCTGTAACTGAGGGCTGCTTCTTTACCTCAGAGAGGAGCAGAGTTTCTGATTGATCCTGTGCAGTAGTTGTGACTTTTTCAATCGAGATGTGGATTTTTACCTCTGCTTCCTTTTCTAAATCTTCTGCTTGTGCACACTGTGGAATACCTTCAGCTTCTTCAATCTCTTTAATTGGAGTTTGAGATTGAGCCATGGCCTGTACCTGTTTGGACCTCTCTGTATTTTCCTCACTTTGAACACTACCTCCCTGTTCCGCTTTCTTCTTCTTCCTTTTTGTCTTTTTCCCACCATCATTAGTGGTTTGGTCTACTCTTTCACTGTCATGTTTTTCCAAGTCCTTGTTTTGCTTGTCTAGTGTGGATGCCTGCTTTTTCTTCCCTGAAATTGAAAGAGATGGATCAGTTACTTTCCACACATCTGCATCTGTCATCCACAAAATATTTATTAAATGGAGAAACTTACACAGACAATATGTAGTTCAAAACGTAGCCTAGTGTTTCATTTCTGATAAGCAAACCCAAGACTCAGTCTGAGTGTAATTGTATTTTCCATTCATTATAATCTTAGTACATTGGTGTAATAAGTTAAATGAGCACTGTCTAAATGGTTTAACATTTTAAAAAAACAATCCAATACACTTTAGACATGTTAGATACTGTGTCTGTGGATGCTGCAAAGATATTTAAGCATGCTACAATCCTATCACCTTTGTCTTACCATATTACATGTATGGGACAGGCTGGTGAACAACCATAAGACCTCTGGAGTCTTAAAAACACTGCATTAAGCAAGAAAAAAGAATTACAATTTACTGAGCTTTGAGAGTTTCAAATTATTTGCCTGTTTGAATGGTTTGGCCCCTCCTTCATTAAACACAAGACAAATCAGTGGAACACCCTGCCTGCCAATTTGTGGAGATGTAACTCTATACTGTAGTTTGAAAATCAATAAGAGTCTGTTGAAAGTTATGTCCCCACTGACCCTGATCTCTGCTCTTTACAATTTTTATTAATTTAACAAGCATAATCTTGTGATGTGCTATTGTGTTTTTATTAAATTGTTTGTCATGTGTGATTGTTTGTGCATGTATGGTCTGCCTCTGTGTTTTAACTGAGACATGTATAAACACATGAATTTCCCCTTGTGGAATAATAAAGTTTACCTTGAACTTTGTATAGTCTTATTCTTACATGCCAAGGGACTGCAGATATAAACTAGTTTTAAGCTATCATCTGCTGCAGTGCATCAAATGGCAACGTTTGTTTTTAACTGTACATGGTTCTTTTCAAATAATAAATAAAGACAAGTTAATTTCAAATTATTATTGAGGAGAAAGAATGACATTCATATTAACATTTTATCACTGATACACTGCTAAGTATTTCTCACACTGCCATGGGTCTCATAGTGAAGACTCCTAAGAATAACCCTACAGAATGTGAAGTTGCCATATCCAAATAAAAAAGATCATTCCACAAACACTAATATAAAACCGGAATTACATGGACTGAGCTCAGTTTTACGCAAATGGATACTGGAATAGTAAAAAAATAGGCCCCAGTCTTAAAATCCCAAAAATCGATTTCAGCAGTAAATGGCAAAGCTTACTCTCCCTTTCCTACTGCTTCCATATGGAAACTGAAGCCCTCTTCTCCACAATCAGAGGTCATTTTTTTTGCCAACATTTACACAAGAAAAATATAACACTTTTGTTTTCACCCCAATTTTTCATGGATGGAAGTACACTATATTACCAAAAGTATTGGCTCACTTGCCTTGAGTAGCATATGAACTTAAGTGACATCCCATTCTTAATCCATAGGGTTTAATATGACATCAGTCCACGCTTTGCAGCTATAACAGCTTCAACTCTTCTGTGACAACTTTTCACAAGGTTTAGGAGCGTGTTTATGGGAATTTTTGACCATTCTTCCAGAAACACATTTGTGAGGTCACACACTGATGTTGGACGAGAAGGCCTGGCTCTCAGTCTCCGCTCTAATTCATCCCAAAGGTGTTCTATCGGGTTGAGGTCAGGACTCTGTGCAGGCCAGTCAAGTTCATCCACACAAACTCTCTCATCCATGTCTTTATGGACCTTGCTTTGTGCACTGGTGCACAGTCATGGTGGAACAGGAAGAGGCCATCCCCAAACTGTTCCTCTAAAGTTAGGTGCATGGAATTGTCCAAAATCTCTTGGTATGCTGAAGCATTCAGAGTTCCTTTCACTGGAACTAAGGGGCCACGCCCAGCTCCTGAAAAACAACCCCACACTAAAGCGACGTGCTTTACACCACTGCATCCGACGCTTTGCATTGCACTTGGTGATGTATGGCTTGGATACAGCTGCTCGGCCATGGAAACCCATTCCATGAAGCTCTCTACGCACTATTCTTAAACTAATCTGAACATGAAGTTTGGAGGTCTGTAGTGATTGACTCTGCAGAAAGTTGGCGACCTCTGCACACTTTCTGCCTCAGCATCCGCTGTCCTCGCTCCGTCATTTAAGGTGGCCTACCACTTCGTGGCTGAGTTGCTGTCGTTCCCAATCACCTCCACTTTGTTATAATACCACTGACAGTTGACTGTGGGATATTTAGGAGTGAGGAAATTTCACGACTGGACTTGTTGCACAGGTGGCATCCTATCACAGTACCACACTGTAATTCACAGAGCTCCTAAGAGCAGCCCATTCTTTCACAAATGTTTGTAGAAACAGTGTGCATGGCTTGGTGTTTGATTTTATACACCTGTGGCCATGGAAGTGTTTGGAACACCTGATTTCAATTATTTGGACAGGTGAGTGAATACTTCTGGCAATATAGTGTATGTTAGATTGACTCTATGGTAGGCCTGGGCCGATAATCAATAAATTGCACGATAAATTAAAATGAACTCAATAATTTTGCCATCCTCGATATATTGCCGTTTGCATGCGCGTTTGTTTTCTCATCACTCGCCTCCAAGCAGGCTGGATGTTAAGAGGGTTCACTCTGTGCTCGGTCTCAGCACCTGGGGGCGTTGGTTCCATAGCGGAATGAACGGAGTGAACCCTCTTGTCAGTCACCCAGTCTCTTCGTCTCTGTGGGGGGAGGCTGGGCCGCTAGCATTGGCTACACACACAGAGTGCAGCAAGTGAGCGTTGTGCGGAGCAATGCGAGGAAAAAAGATGATTGCAAAGCCTAATGCCACAGCCCGGTGTGGGAATATTTCGGCTTCAAACCGAATGAGCAAGGTGAGCCCATCAACACGGACGAGCCACTTCAAAAGTGGTGGCAACGAAAAAAGGCAACACATCAAAGTTGCATGCCCACCTAAAGCATAACCACCTGACCCAGTTTTCCCAGCTGAGGAAAAAAAAGTGCACCTCGAGATGCAGAGCCTTCGTCCCGAAAGTCAACACTCACTGAGGCGTTTGGTCGACGAAGTAAATATAAACGGAACAGCGCAAAATGGTGTGCGCTCACAGAAAGTGTAGTTCGCTATATTGCAAAAGAAATGCTCCCCTTTAATACAGTTGAAAAGCCAGCATTGAAAGAAATGCTGCAAACGTTTGACAGACAGAACGAATTGCCTGCGAGAAAATACATGTCACAAACGGCCTAAATGTTCAATATTTATTGAAGTGCAGTTTTGTTTATCAAGACTTGATAAGCAATTTTATTTATTGTTTTGGTTGTGTGTGGTTTTATATTTGAGTGCTGTTTTTGCTAACAGAGACTGAGAGTCTCTTTGTTTGTTTTATTTATTTAGGATATTTAAACGTTCCTGAAATTACAATTACAATGGTAAAAAACACTGAGAAATAAAAGTTTATTGTATTTGAAAGGGTGTGCATTATTATGATATATTATCATGTTGACAATAATAAGTTTATCTGCAATAATTTGTTATCGTCCCAGGCCTACTCTATGGAAACAAAAGGCATATTACGCTCAAATGTGTTCAAATCTTTGTTAGTAAGGACATCAACTTTGTAAAGATACGCAGGGTTTTGGACCAGAGAATCAGGTCTAGTCTTAAGGTAGTGGTAATATGTGATGGGACTGTAAGCCACTGGCCCACGTCAACCAACATCTCTCTGTCTTCCTACGAGGTGTATTCACGGACCATCGGACGTGCTAACATCTGCTTGCTTAGCCACTTCCGGTGGACATTTGGGCTTAAAACACAGTGTAAATGACGTTGTTTCGAGTCGAATATGAATGTTGGGGTTTGCAGACACCTGGTTGATACCACAGGCGCAGTATGGGGGCATGTTATGTTTTTTTCTGAAACTTCAGAAGTGTTGTGGACTCAAACACTTCACCCACCCCGCCATTGGCATAGTGGTGAGTGGATAATGAGTAAAGTTTTATTTTTGAATGAACTATCCCTTTAAGTCACCTCTTCTCTTGTACAGTGTGTTCTATTTCCAGCTGCCTTCTGGACTTCGTTTCCACTGTTAGCTAGGCACTTTGTTGCTGAAGAAACAGGTGCTACACCAATTGATAGATATACCAGACTACAACGCTCAGCAGCTTCTGTCTGATCCCTGACAGCTTCTGACAAAACATGCAGAGAAAACATCATTCCAGAGCTGAGGATGCAACAGACTAAAGGCAACAGGGCCGTCACTTTGGATATGCGGACAGAAGATTTCCATCAATTTGTTATCTTTGTGTCACTCTGCATTACATTAACAAATGAAAACTGACTGAGCGAGTGCTTTGCACTTAAGAGTGGGACACTGCATTACGCAAAAAGGCAGATAACCTCAGAACAGCTATAATACAAGCAATGCATAAATACAATCCTTATGAGTTCCTATCCAAATTGGTCTATGTGACTGACACAGGTGCAAAAATAGTTAGAACCCTACGCACTGTTACTATGCTTAGTTGCGCCGCACACCTAGCTCGCAGAAGATGATGTCTTTGACTAACTTTAAGTAGACCAACTTACAGAATCGTCAAAAAATAAAAAATAAACAAACACTGAAAGCATCCATGGAGACAAGCTGGAACTTGCTACATAAATTGCTTGACTTTTTCCAGCAGCCAGTGAGGACATCCGTATCGTCACCTGCAACCATCATCCACTGACAGCTTGACACCATCATTGTTGAAAGAAAAAAAAGCCTGAAAATTCTGACTGAAAAGTTTGAGCTGCATCTCCTTGAAAAGCCTCAAGGTGCTTCCAGACCAGGGTGAGGTGATGAGCAATTAGAAAATCCCCTAAACTGGTCAAACTATTAATTTGTGCAATTTTTTTCCTGCAGTGTACAAACTTGCATCCTACATCAAATTCAAAACAAACCAAGTAGGGCTGGGCGATATCCCAATATTTTAATATATATCGATATATATTTCTAAACGAGATATAACACGGGACAATATCGCTTGTATCGATATAGTTCATTTTGAGTTAAAATGACAATACATGGGCTGCAAGTTCGCACCTATTTCTTCTCTCCCTGTGTCCCTACACACACACAACCTTTCTGCTCCGCCTCCCTCACTCTTTGACCACAAGCCCTCCCCCTCCACTCTCACCTAAATTCAGCAACAACGTGGGGACGGAGTCCGCTGCAGAAGAGGAGTTGGTCAGTAAGCGAAAGAACAATGGCTCGATAATTTGGAGATGGTTTGGTTTTAAAGTGGCAGACGACCAGCAGCAAAATGTTTTCTGTAAAGAATGTCGAAAACCTGTTGCAACTAAAGGCTTGAGCATGACAAATCTCTTCCACCACTTACAACAGCACCATAAAGTGCAGTATAAGGAGTGTGTCAAAATACGTGCTGCGACTCAGGCCAGAAAGCCTCCCCAGTGTTCTGCCCCGAAACAAACCCTGCTGCAAGTTTCATTGACCCATGCTGTACCTTACGAAGGAACAAGTGACAAGTGGCGTAATATAACCAAAGCCGTGGCTTTCCATATCGTTAAAGACATGGCCCCCATATCAACAGTGGAGCAAACCGGCTTTGTACAGCTGCTAAAAACACTGAATCCAAGATACCAATTGCCCAGTCGCAATTACTCCGCAAGAGAGGCACTACCCAAAATGTACACAGATGTTAGAGCCAGTCTTGCTGCCCGGCTTGCAAAAGTGTCTCACTACGCGCTGACCACCAACATGTGGTCCAGCAGGACCTGCGAACCTTACATGAGTGTGACGGTGCACTTCATGGAAGACTGGGAGATGAAGAGTGTCTGTCTTCAGACCAGCTACTTTCCACTAGATCATACAGGGGAGCATATTGCCGAAGCCCTGTCAGTGTTGTTGCTGTTACCTGGCAGTTCAATGATGATTCCGACCTTCATGAAAGCTCGGACCACAGTTGAGACTGATACCTTAGCCCAGGCATCCACGATCCATTGGCAGATAGTGGCGTAAGTCGCCAGGCGCTGTCTCCCTGTTTTGGTGAATGTGTGTTCGCCTTCTGTCATCCACTGCTCCCACACAGCTAGCAGTTTAACTTTGAACGCCCTGTTGACACCAATATCTAGCGGCTGGAGTTCTTTAGTTAATCCACCCGGAATGATGGCAAGCTCTGAATTAGTTTGCTTCGCTTGGTTTTTGAAAGCATCAGCGAGATGGGCGCGCACGGAGTCGCAGATCAATAGGGACAGAGATTTGTGGAAAAAGCCACCCGGTCTCTTGACGTAAATTTCTTTCAGCCACTCACTCATCTTTTCCTCGTCCATCCAGCCCTTTGGGCTAGCTTTGATGATGACACTGGCTGGAAACTTCTCTTTCGGCAAAGTCTTCCTCTTGAAAATGACCATGGGTGGAAGTTTCTGGCCATTAGCCTGGCAACCGAGAACTACAGTGAAGGATGACTTCACGTTCCCTGTGGTGCATATAGACACCGTTCTGATCCCTGTTTTCTTCACAGTGCGGTTCACAGGGATATCAAAGGTGAGGGGAACCTCATCCATGTTGGTGATGCGCTCTGGCCGGATCTTCTTTTCAGTGGTCTTGTTTTTGCAGTATGCGAGGAAAGTGGCCAGCTTTTCTTCGTAATCTTTTGGCAGTTGCTGCGAGACGGTAGTTTGTGTGCGGATGGAGAGATTACATCTTTTCATAAAACGAAAGCACTAAGAAGGACCGCCTTGAAAGTAATTGATATTCATGTCTCGTGCTAAAGCTGTTGCCTTCATCCAAATATAGACTTCTTACCTGCTGCTCTCTGTTCAATAACCCACTGTTCAATTTTGTCCTCCAACTGTGGCCATCTCGTTGTTCCCTTGAAAACTCTGTGTGGTCTTCTTTACTTGGRGCAGGTCATCTTCTTGCTTCCTCCACTTCCGTACCATTGATTCATTAATGTTGAATTCTCTCGCAGCTGCTCTATTCCCATGTTCTACTGCGTAACTGATAGCCTTGAGTTTGAAGTCTGCGTTGTAAGCGTGTCTCTTGACAGGTGCCATTTTGGGGTCCTGATACACACAAACTGTAATACTATGGTGAAACACAGTATGTTTTACTCCGCGACGCTCCTGACTACTCCTGACTGTCACACTAAAATATTTTGACAGAGCGCCGCGTGTGCCGTGTACCACAGAATCGCTTTGAGGTCAGTAAGCACAACCAGAATTAATCCATATATAAGGTGCTCCGGATTATAAATCACGCTTTCGTTCTTTGAGAAAATTTAAGCTTTTTAAGTGCGCCTTATAGTCCGGAAAATACGGTAGTTGCTGTGACGACGCAAGTAATGTTGTCAAAGCGCTGCAACTAACAAAGTGGCCAAGGATGCAATGTCTTGGTCACAGACTTCATCTGGCCCTTGGTGAGTGCAATATTGAATTATTTGATTAAAAAAAAAATATATGACAGGCAAAATGCTCAGTAAAACACTGTGTGTGTGTCAGTTATAGTCCTGGTAACAGTGTTGTTTATGTATTCTGTTTAACACTTTGGATAATAGTATCTAATAAATTTAATTTTATTTAAATGTAATCATACACAAATAATTAATGATAATAATTAATAACTGTACAGCACTTGGGATGGTTTGATGCACTTAAGGTTCTGTTTACATTAATAAAGGTGCCTGTGTGACATTTGGGGTGGCTGTGGCTGAGGGGGTAGAGCGGTCATCCTCCAACCAGAAGGTCGGAAGTTTGATCCCCAGTCTTCCCATCTGCATGCCAAAGTGTCCTTGGGCAAGATACTGAACCCCAAAACTGCCCAATAGAACACCAAAAAGTGCTAACTATAGAAGCACTGTATGAATGTGTGTGTGAATGGGTGAATGGAAAACTGTAGTGTAAAGCACTTTAAGTTGTCTTCAAGACTAGAAAAGCGCTATATAAATACAACCATTTACCATTTGGCACGTGGCTTAAAGTTATAACTGACTGTTTGTATGTTTTTTAAAGGGTTTGCCTCTGGAAAAAAATTAATCTTATATGCTATAATGCTTTGGGGGAAACCCCAATTACCGATATGTATCGAGTATCGCAATTCATCTTGAGATATGACTTTTAGTCCATATCGCCCAGCCGTACACCCAAGGAGGATCATTTCGATCTTTACTGTTGTGGAAGGAGCACTCTACAATGTTTCCTAACCTGGCAGGGATTGCATGGAATATGCTCGCCTCCCTGGCTTTGAGTGCAGCCAGCAAAAGAGAATTTTCCTCAGCTGAATTTGTGATTTAAGAACACAGAACCCTGCTTAAACCAGGGACTGTTGACAATATTCTGTTTTTGCATAGCAACATCAGGCTCAAGGATAATTAAATGTCAGCATGAGCAAAGTAAGTAACATAGCTGGTGTTTTATTCTACCAAAGAGGAAATGTTCTAATGGCACAGATAGACATATAGGGACTATTGACGATATTGTATTTCTGCGGAGCAACCTCAGTCTCAAGAGCAATGACACGTCAGTATGAGAATAGTGAATGAAAACAGTTGTTTACTGATTCTGCCACATTGGCTTCTGTTAATTATAATTAGAAATTCTTGTGTTTCTACATTTTTTTATCTCACATGTAAAAATAAAGCGCTTTGAAGAGACTGTTTAGCCTATGTGTTTAATCACAGATGAGTCGCAGGGCTCATTAATGAGTCAGAGTGGAACCAAATTTGAGTTGGAGGTAACTGTGGGTTACAGGTTGGTTCTGGTACTGAACTTTGTGGATGCTGATGGGTGCAAAACTGGACCCATGCAGGACTCTGATATTGAGAATAAAAGCAAGTGGATGTAGTTCAGTTCATGGCTGCATCCATGATATATCATTCTCAAGACTATGATCACATGCTAAATTCCATTGCTTATTTAATATTTTCTTGCTTAATGTCAATTAATGACAATACGGTATAGAGAACATATGGATTTTTACACTTTTGTAAATTGGACATATCTGCCAACCCAAGTTGCCTTTACTTTTCTTAGCTGCTGGGGTCCCCTTCTCATCTTCATCCATAGGACGACATTCTCTCTTCATCCTCCTCCTGCTGCCAAACATTTCATCATCCTCATCAGTAGAGACCTCTTCTGGATACACATCCTGAGGAAAAATGCCTGAGGAAAGATTCCAGAGTGAAACAAGTTAATTATTACATTTTCACATAAATTCTTAATAAATATTGCAAATACATACTCAACTTTTTGGTATTGGAATAATAAAATCTATTAAGTCCTCTAGATGGAGCTTACTGTCTGTTGAGGTCAGCACAACAAAGATCCATGACTCACATAAACATGGAGAAAGAATGCATCAACCAAATTTAGGGATCTTTCAGTCAGACAAATATAACCTAAGACAGTCTATAATACTTTACAATGTACTATAGACTGTTACTGTCATAACAATTGTGCTATAATTTTTCAAAATCAGACAACAGTAAGACATTGACAGCGGTGAGTGCCCTCCACACTCCCGATTTGACATTCAAATATCACAAAATTCTACACACTGTACCTTTAAAAGGACAAACTCTGATTATAGCCTAACAAAGTAAACATCAAGTACTGTACATGTCCTAATAATGTCTAATAAGTGTGTGTGGGTGTTCACTGTGAACGCAGAGGGGGTAGACTCTGATACAGTACAAGATGAAGGGACCTTTAATGTGCTGATCCTGAAGCAGCGCTGGCTATAATTATTAAAGGTTCAGTGTTTATATTTAGGTGAAAAGGAAATATTGGCAGATATCTTATGTAGAATAATCCTCATGACGTTTTCACTAGTTCGTTTCATCTAAATTGTATGAATTGTAGTTTACTTTACCCCAGAAAAGGCCCTTTATATTCAAATAGTTTTATATTTACATCGAGGGGACCCTCTCTACGGAGGACGCAATGTTTTTTACTATAGTCCAGACTGGATAAACTAAACACCTTTCAAGTTTTAATGACACTAGATATCACAAAATTCTACACACTGTACCTTTAAGTGGTAGAACCCTGCTAAAACATTAAATGTAGTGGAAAATGTGAAACGATTATGTTCTGTCATTGCATCAATGCAAGTTGTCCATTATCACATCCAGAAATTTCAACACCTCTAATGTGCAAGGATGGTTTTTGACATTGAGCTCTGGCATATGCCGTGGTCAAAGTTCAACATAGTTGGCATGTCAGGTGTGTTTAAAAAGTCAAGTAGCTTGACAAAGCTTAAGTGTGTCTACAACATCTATATGTTATGGAAATGACAGTATACAGTCCCCTCCAAAAGTATTGGAATGGTAAGGAAAATTCCTTTATTTTTGTTGTTCACTGAAGACATTTGGGTTTAAGATCAAAAGATATGTATGAGACAAGAGTTCAGAATATCAGCTTTTATTTCCTGGTATTCACATCTAGATGTGTTAAACAACTCACGACATACCACTCTTTGTTTGAACCCACCCATTTTTCAAGTGAGCAAAAGTATTGGAACAAATAATCTTAAAGTAAATAACATTTAATATTTGGTGGCATAACCCTTGCTTGCAATAACTGCCCCAAGCCTGCGACCCATCGACATCACCAAACTGTTGTATTCTTCATTTGTGATGCTATTCCAGGCTTTTACCGCAGCTTCTTTTAGTTCTTGTTTGTTTCGGGGTGTTTCTCCCTTCAGTCTCCTCCTAAGGAGGTGAAATGCATGCTCTATTGGGTTAAGGTCAGGTGATTGACTTGGCCAGTCTAAAACCTTCCACTTTTTCCCTCTGATGAAGTCCTTTGTTTTGTTGGCAGTGTGCTTTGGGTCATTGTCCTGCTGCATGATAAACTTCCTCCCGATTAGTTTCAATGCATTTCCCCGTAAATTGGCAGACAAAATGTTTCTGTACACTTCTGAATTCATTCTGCTGCTACCATCGTCAGTTACATCATCAATAAATATCAATGAGCCTGTTCCAGAAGCAGCCATGCACGCCCAAGCCATGACATTACCTCCACCATGCTTCACAGATGAGCTTGTATGCTTCGGATCATAAGCAGTTCCTTTCTTTCTCCACACTTTGGCCTTTCCATCACTTTGGTAGAGATTAATCTTGGTCTCACCAGTCCATAAGATGGTGTTCCAGAACTTTTGCGGCTCATCTCTGCACTTACTGATGTTTTGGGGTTTTTTCTTCACAGCTCTCACGATACTTCTGTCATCAACTACTGTTGTTTTCCTTGGCCGACCTGTTCGACATCTGTTACTCAGTACACCAGTAATTACTTTCTTTTTCAGGACATTCCAAATAGTTGTGCTTGCTATGCCCAATGTTTGTCCAATGACTCGTATTGACTTTCCTTCTTTTCTCAGCTCGACAATGGCTGGCTTTTCTCCCATAGAAAGCGCTCTGGTCTTCATGTTGGTTTATCCTCTTTAACAGGAAATGCAGTCTTGATAGGTTTGAACCAAGGGTGAAAACTTAGACTAGTCATGCAGAGCTATTTAATGTTTGGACAATCAACCTAAAAGGCAACACCTGGGCAACAAGAAACACCTGTCAGTCACATGTTCCAATACWTTTGCTCACTTGAAAAATGGGTGGGTTCAAACAAAGGGTGGTATGTCGTGAGTTGTTTAACACATCTAGATGTGAATACCAGGAAATAAAAGCTGAAATTCTGAACTCTTGTCTCATACTCATCTTTTGATCTTAAACCCAAATGTCTTCAGTGAACAACAAAATAAAGGAATTTGCCTTACCGTTCCAATACTTTTGGAGGGGACTGTATCTTACAAATGCAGTGTCGTGTTCAACAGAATTCACTCCTCTACTCACCACTATGCCAATGGAGGGGTGGGTGAAGTGTTTGAGTCCACAAAACACTTAAGAAGTCTCAGGGGTATACAGTGTTAGAGCACAATCCAATACAACTTAAGTAACTATCGACCAAAGCTTCCGATGTAATAAAACTGAATAAACATAACATGCCTCCATGCTGCTCATGTGGTGTCATCCAAGTGTCTGCAAGCCCCGAAATTCATATTGGACTTGAAACAAGGTCATTTACACTGTGTTTTAAGCCTACATGTCCGCTGATATCTTCCGACGAGGTGCGTTCAGGGATCGTCGGACATGCAAACGTCCACGAGCTTAGCCACTTTTAGGCTTAAAACTCAGTGTAAATGACCTAGTTTCTAGCCAAATTTGAATGTCAGGGCTTGCGGACACTTGGATGACACCACACAAGCAGTATGGAGGCATGTTATGCTTTTTCTGTTGTTTTATTACATCTAAAGATGGACTCACCATTGCCTTCAATTGTATTGGATTCTGCTCTTACACTGTTTACCCGAGACTCCTTTTGTGGACTCAAACTTTCCAATGCTAAATTGTAATAACATAATACATATTGGATCGCCACCAAAGTATCCCAATAGTATTGAATAGAATTGGGAAATGTATCGTCCCAGCCTTTATTTTACAATCCGTTTCTTTACCAACAGGATTAACTTTTCTATCAAAACTCTTTGTCTCACAACAAGAAAACCTGTCACTCAGAATCACAGTGGACCTGAAGAAACACCAGCAGCAGGAAGCATTACAAAATCATCACAATCACCAATTATTTAGCAGAAAACAATATTCAATTCAATTATTACCAAGTTATTAGGGGTTAGTTATTTATATGACTGTTTGAAGAGTATCTAAAAATTGTGTTAATTGTATTGAAAACTGCATGTCACCACTTGTAAAAAGCTAAACCAAGAATTAGGGTGTGAGCTCCTACCTTTACCGAGGTCCTGCAGTCTGAGATGAATACATGGTGAGAGAGAAACAAAATGCATTTATTGAAATTGAGGTCATTCAGTCATAAAATCAGTAAACGATTTAACCCATGTAGAAAAAAAAAAATCTATAACTTTCTTAGCCTGCATCAGTTGGAGCAAAGGTTCATCAATGGAGGGGAGAAGTAGCACTTGCAAACGCTTCATTCTGGTGATGTGATAATTCACCTTTGATAACTCAAGACTTCCTTCAAGCTCCACTTTGATCTATAAATACTATTCTTCATATAAGAAACTCATGACAGAAAGAACTGCTGCTACATCAGGCTCTGCGATATTTATTGTCTACAATAATATCTTAATTGTTGATTTAAAGATGTGCAAGCTCACATTATTGAGTATTGAGTAGAGCTACATGGATTGCTTCCCCCCTCCACCAGCCCAATAAATAATTTTTTCAGCGTTCTAGAGATCACAGAGCCTGCCTTCTTATTCACAGTTTGTATGTGTGGGTCTCTCAGCCTTATCCCTCTCTCTTTTTCCACAAATAGATCAGGGTCAAACATATATTAAAAAATAAAATCTTTGCATTCATGTCACAGACAAACTGTATCCAGTAATAGCTGAAGGTGTGAATTTCTGAATTCAAAGAACATGTGCATATATGCTAGATCAGTATTCACACTAATAAACCAAAACCCATATATATAAATATAAATCTATAAATATAAATCCCAGGAGAAATTTGGTTGTTTAAGTTCCTGAAAAAATTTACAGTAGAAAAAACTTCAGTAGTGTTGTTTTAATAGCTTTACAGCGTTCATGATACGCCCTCATTATAGCAGTCGAACACATACAATCACACTGTGTAATGTAAGGGGCTCTACTTACACTTTTATTATTTTGTAGAGTCTCTGTCTGTTCTGGCTCAGTGTGCTGTTCCGGCTGGCTAACTCGAACAGCTTGTCTGCCAGTGCTGTATAGTCAAACTACATAACACAGTTAATCAACATCCCATCACATATATACACCATCTAAGTCAAAAAAACTGATGAATAAAAATGTAATATTTATTATACAATAGAAAGAAACCATTCTGATCAAAAAGACAGAAAATCGAAGCCTGGGAATAAACAAAATGCTCATCAACTCTCATTCAGTTGAAAGGCTTTAAAGGTATTTAGTGTGTTCAAGGACAAAATGATACCTCAGAGTTTCCCAAAAGAAGTCTTACAATGCTCCAAAAAACTTAACTCACATTAACTTTTAACACCATTTGATTTTATAATAGAAAAAAAGAAAGAAGAAAGCTTAATCGTGAAAAGAGGAGGAAGCTTCACCTGTAGGACTGGTCCGATGTCACCATCACAAGGCAGCTCTGTGTCTGAGTCCTCTGAGTAAAGAAGCTCATCATCAACATCCTCCTCTGGATATGATTTACTACCTGTGGAAAACGATACAAGATTTCAGATAAGAATTATCCATTTGTTTATATATTATTCATTTCTGCACACAATTTAGTTTTTCCGTGACAGCTGTCAACCTTAAGTTTTCCATATATTATGTACTATACCTATATTAACAGAAGTGCTACAATTTTGTAAACATTTTTTATGTGTACCGTTGATCTTCTTACTCTTCCATTTCTTGCAGAGTGGTTTGCTCATTTTCTCTTTTATTTGCTCTTTGTTATCCCCTTCAGAAGCCGGTCCCGATTCACAATCCTCAGCTGCTTTCACCTCCTGCATCAATTCTTCAATGGCGAAGGGAGCCTGGTCAATAATAGAGCTGAAGATGCTATTGCAGATTGCTCTGAACAGAGTCCGACTGGTGAGAAAGCGATCAAAAGAAGAAAAGATGACAGACTGAGTGGATGAGGTATTCAGGCAAGCTGTAGTGTCAGCAGCATCAAAACCAGAGTCTCCACCACATGCATATTGCAGTGGTAGCATCATTACCACCACTGCTTCAGGATTTGGGCATAAGCACATTCGGCCCAGTGGCCTTGTACCTTGCCGAAGTATCCTGCCAGAGAGTCCTTCCTCTCCAAGCCCCAACTGGCCTGTTTTGACATTGCACTTTAACAATACGACCAACACAAACCACACGTTTTAGGAACCGTCCAGTAGTGAAGGAATTACTTTGTGTTTGTTTCGTGCTAGAATTTATGAAGCATTTTTACATTAAAGGATCAGTGTATAAGATTTAGGTGAAAGTGATCTATTGGCAGAAGATGAATATAAAATAATCCTAGTGATGTTCTCACTAGTTCTTTGTATTTACATGTATGGAGCATATTTTTTCCAGTAGCCCAGATTGGACAAACTAAACATCTTAGTTTGTCCAGCTGGACATCCGTGAGTATGCTTTATTTGCTGTGGGTTTCTTAGGCTTAAGCAGCAAGCCAACTGGCAGATGCAGAGCGGAGTGGACGGGCTGGGGTGATTCGTTCACAGCACAGTACGCAAATACTAGTGTTTTGGAACGGATGCAGGCAGCCACTGGTAACCAGTGAAGGGAGCAGAGTATTGTGAGTGAATTTTGGTAAGTTAAAGACCAGTCAAGCTGCTGCATTCTGGATGAGCTGTAGCGGTCGGATAGCACTAGCCGGTATACCAGCCAGGAGGAGTTGCAGTAGTCTAGGCATGAGATGACCAGAGCCTGGACCATAACCTGTGCCACCTTCTGAGTGAGAAGGGGATGTATTCTCCTGATGTTGTGCAGCATGTATCTACACGGGCAACTTGTTGCAGTAATGGTGCCAGTAAGGGAGTGTGCCAGACAGGCAGAGATTTGTGCTGCTACCTGTGTTTCAGACTGAGGAAAAGAGAGGATTAGATGGGTATCATCTGCGTAGCTGTGGTAAGAAAAGCCATGTGAGTGAATGACAGAGCCGAGTTGGTGTACAGAGAGGAGTGGACCCAGGACAGAACCTCCTCTCCAAATTATTACCATAATACAATGAAGCACTAGTAAATACCACAATAAATCAGCTACAGATTATTCAGAACTCTGCAGCACAAGTGATGACAAGGACCAAAAGGAGAGCACATATTATGCCTAATGGTCTAATAGCCTAATGGTTGCCTGTTCATTTTTGTATTCATTTTAAAATCCTTGAATAAGTTCATAAAACACTACATGGCCTTGCATCAGACCAACTGTCAGAGATGCTTTTGGATTATTAACTAGAGAGGCCCCTCAGATCCTCTGGTTCTTCTCCTTTAGTAGTTCTCCAAATCAGAAAAAAAACATTTGGTGATGCTGACTTCAGTCATTACCCTTCCAAGATGATGGTAAAGCCTTCAAGAGGAGCTGAAAATGTAGATGTTTTTAAGCAAAGATTTAAAACCCATCTTCAACCTGGAGATGTAGTGTTTAATAATTTCTAGTAGTGTTTGATAATTTCTATAATGTTTGAGAATTTACACTATTATTTATTATAATATATTTCTTCTTAATACTTTCTTTCTTGTTTTATTAACATGTTATTATTCTATTATTTACGCTGTAATCTTTCACAATGTATGAGTGCATTGTTTCTGAACTTATGAATCCTTTTTTAAACATTTTGTCAGCTTCTTGTAAAGCACTTTGAAGTGCAATTGATTCTTTTGAAAGGTTCTATAAAAACATTGTTTTGATTGATTTGTTCTAATGGAATCCTTTATAATCGTATTCCTAGGTTTAGAGGCAATTTGCAGAGTGGAGAACACCCTGATAGTTAAGAGTCCTAAATGGTGTAGAGAAGCTGAGCCATCATCAACAATCATCGCTGGAGGGGTTCCGCAGCCCGATTCTATGCTTCACACCAAAGAATGTTATCCAGTGTGTCTTGTGTGTTTCCCTATTCCATTATACGTTGCGGACATGCATTACAATGAAAATGCAGACCGCAAGCAAGCTATAACACCAACAGGACAACCAGTTTACAGAGTTGTGTTCCACAAGAAGACAGACTCTGCAGACAAGAAGTTGTACACGCGTTTTCTTGCTGCTTAAATGTTATAAACTGTTACATACAACATGAAAACTAATTCAAATTTTGGACCTTAGTTCAAGTAAAAAGTAAACAATGGATTCAAAAAAACACATGATATTTTTGAATGAAAAATTTTACAGATTAAGTTAATTGATGAGGCTGGAATTTGACACGGTGTTTGTTCCCATCCCCATTAATCAGGTATCCCAATGTGAAAGACCGTCAAAAGGGGTTGCTTGCCACAAATCGTACTTCAGTCAAGAGGCAGTTGGAAGCTACCATACTGATTATTTGAGTTGCAAAAAACTTGCCTTCTATTGTTTTTGTATGTTCCTACATTTGCAAAAATATATAAAATATTTTGAGGATAAGTATTATTTCTCATTTCTTCATTTGCTCTTCTTATCCGCTGTTGAAATTATATCATAGCTGTTTTTATTTTATGTAGATTTGTATCTCAATACGTGTGTAAATATTCAGGACCTAGGTAAAGATAGGAGCTGGTGATCTCACCCTAATTCTTGGTTTAGCTTTTTACAAGTGGTGACAAGATTTTCTTGATGGCAGGTTGGGGAAAATCACTTGTTACAGCAGCAGATAGTTAGACCGAGGTAAACAAGAGGAAAAAAAAAATACTGAGAATATGTACACGGCTCAAAGAAAATTAGGGAACACTTAAAGACTTGTAGTAATACTGTGATTATTAACTTTCAGGGATATCAATCTGTCAATTTAGGAAGAACAAGTGAGAATGAATCAGTTTTACCTGCTTTGGTGCCAATAAAAGTGAAACTGGTGCAATGGAGAAGTAAAATCAAGACAAACACCAAAAAGGGAATGGTTTTGCATGTGCTGGCCACAGAAAGTTGCTCTCTTTATTCTTCCTGACTAATACTTCTTTAGTTCTGTGTTCTGCTAGTATCCTCGTCACAAATGCTTGCATGAGGCAGTATTCGAAGCCCGATCAGGTTGCACAGGTAGTCCAACTCCTTCAGGAAGGCACATCCATGCGTGCTGTCGCAAGAAGGTTTGCTGTGTCTCCAAGACGCTTTTCGACACTGTAGTGGCCTCCGCAGTGTTCTATGCGGTGCTGCGGGAGCAGCTGCACTGAGAGGGACAGAAAAAGACTCAACAAGCTGGTAAAAAGAGCCAGCTCTGTCCTGCAGTGCCCCCTGGACCTGAATGAGGAGGTGGGGGGGAGGAGGGTGTTAGCAATGCTGACATCCATCATGGACAACATCACCCACCCCCTCCACAGCACTGTCAAAGCTCTGAGCAGTTCTTTCAGCGGCAGGCTGCGGCATCCTCAGTGCAAGTCAGAGAGGTTCCGAAGGTCTTTCATCCCAACAGCCATAAGACTTTGTACCTCCTACACACATATATATATATACACACTCTCATGTGCAATGATCCACAATTTCCCCAGTTTGGGATGAATAAAGTCTATCTAATCTTAAATACAAAAAGCATGGAAGAGATATCAGAAGACCAGCAGTTACACAAGGAGAGCTGGACAAGGCCGTAGAAGGGCATCAACCCAGTAGCAGGACCAGTATCTGCTGCTTAGTGCGAGGAGGAACAGCAGGAGCACTGCCAGAGCTCTCCAAATTGACCTCCAGCAGGCTACAGGTGTGCATGTTTCTGACCAAACTGTCAGAAATAGACTCCATGAGGGTTGCATGAGGGCCTGACGACCTCTAGTGGGAACTGTGTACATAGCCCAGCACCATGCAGCACGATTAGCATTTGCCAGAGAACACCAGTATTGGCAGGCCTGCCGCTGGCACCCCTTTATCTTCACAGATGAGAGCCACTTCACATTGAGCACATGTGATACCATTACCAACATACTGTGCACACTGTATATTTATATTTATTATTTCATCCATGCACTATGCACCATTGCACCAAAACAGAAACACTTCCTTGTCTATACACCAGATATTTATGTATATATATTTTGTACTTATTTTTACCTATTTAGCTTTTTTACATGTACATAGCTTTTGTTTTTGTTCTTGTTTATGTCTGTTTGTTTTTTTAACTTTCTGTACTACGAGAGCTAAGAAAAACAGGAGTCAAATTCCTTGTGTGTGTTCACATACCTGGGAATAAAAGTGATTATGATTCTGATGTGATGTTAACCAGTAACATCATCCAGCATGACCAGTTTGCTGGAGGGTCAGTGACGGTCTGGGGAGGCAGATCCTTGGAGTGCTGCACAAACCATCACTGACCTTTTGCCTCTCCATTGCACCTGTTGGCACCACATCAGGTGAAATTGATTCACAAACACTCTTGACAGATTGATATCCCTGAGGTTTAACTGACTAGGTGTTTAACTGTGACCCTACTATGAGTGTCAACTATTTTTTTGAGCTGTGTATTTAATAGCACATAGCCTTTTATATTCACTTTGTTTATCGTACCTGACTATATACTTAACAGTCTTATATGCATGTATGATGTATAAGTTTATTTAAATTTTTCTCTTGATACTGATGCACAAATATGGTATACATTCTTGTAGGAGTTGGTTACCTACCACTCAGAAACATCCTGCTCCAGTCTTGGCTGTATGTCAAGACTACTGGCTTCTCTTGTCGCTGTCGGACACAGTGTTAAACTGGATGATTTGAAATTCGCTCAACAGCTCAGCTGGCACCAACCGGTAACCAACCTCCACTTATGCTTAATGGGAACATTAAGCATAATAAACACTTCCGAAATGCACAGTTGAACAATCAAGAGAGACTGGATATGTTGGCCAATCAGGGCAGGCTCGGCAGGAGCTGAAGCTGGCATTTGGGAGTTTGGTGTAGCAGTAATATGTCTCCTTTAAAATGATCTGATGGCGATTTAACCACAGCCACAATAGTTTGTCCGAGGATGTAGAAGAGAGCTTCAACTTGGTCCACAAAGTGACCATTAAGGCATGCCCCCCACCTCCACACGCACAGACTCCAACAGAGCACTGGTTGTCTGTTTATTCACATTTTTGTTAATATTGAACACATCTCATGTCCAAATTGCACCAAACAAGGCACTGCAAGATAATGGGTTTGCAAGACATGCTTTCTACATACAAACAAAAAGACATACGTGGAATTACTAGGTAGACACAGAAACCTCAGACCTTTAGGTCCTGCTATCAAGATCTGTGTTGAGATCAAATCGGTTAAGTACTGACACACAGAATCACACATTGATTTGTTTGAAATGACCACCACAATATCAACACTGTTTTCCTCATAATGATTGATACTGTTCATAAAAGGAATAAAAGCTTTCTTCATAGCTGAGCGCATTCATTAATCTGGCTCAGATCAACTTCTTCCTCTTTTGCACTGACACAAACACCGACCCATGCACTCACAAACTCAGACTGGGTAAAAACTACCTTTTTGTTTGGCTCGATTCGGTTGGCAGTGCACAGCGTGAATGATAGGCCCAGAGAGGAGCAGTGAATTACTGACAGAGCCAGTAGAAAAAAAAAAAAGAAATAATTTAAACATCATTTGTATGGGAAATATTCTTTACCAAGCTTTTTGATCCATATAACCTGTTCTACATGAAAGTCACCATTTTATTCTTGGTAATGGGCAGCTTTGGCTGAAGGGAAGAGTGGTCGTCGTCCAACCAGAGGGACGGCAGTTCGATCCCAATCTGCTTGCCAAAGTCCTTGGGCAAGATGCTGAACCGCAAACTGACCCTCTTAGAAAAAAGTGCTGCTAATAGATGCACTGTATGAATGCGTGTGTGAATGGGTGAAGGGCAAACTATAATGTAAAGCGCTTTGAGTGCTCATCAAGACTAGAAAAGCTCTATATAAATACAAACCATTTGCTATGTCATTACTTGTGTGTGTAAGTGACTGCATACAACAAAAAGGGATGTGGACTTACTCTTTGGTTTTGGCAGCTGTTTTGCAGAATGGCTCAATGAACATCAAGTTCTGATTAGCAGTGAGCTGTAAAAAAAAAAAAAGATCACATTAGGATAATTGAAGCATTAATGCGTTTCTTCACGATGGCACGTTGGAACAACTTGATATTAATTGATTGTTTAGTGATAGAATATAACAACACTTTTGAAAGTTATAAGTTGTATGTTATTGTATTCAGTAAGTAGGTACTAAATTAAGTACTACTTTCCCACTTCAGATGCAGCTAAAAACAAACAACAACAATTTCCAAAAACAGGATTTAAAGCTCTGGACTTAACATTTGTCCAAGGGGGAACAGGGAAAGAGAGAGCCTCCTCTACTAACAGGAGTGGTTACTTGGAGCAAGCACCATACTGGGAAATGTTGATGGAACGTGGACCAGCGGCTTACAGTCCTATCACATATTATCACTACCACCACCCTAAGACCAGACCTGATACTCTGGTCAAACACCCTGCATGTTGTCTACTTCTTAGAATTTACAGTACCCTGGGAGGATGCTGGTGATTAAGCTAATGAGAGGAAAAGGCTGCAGTATGCAGATACAGCAGTTGAGGCAGAGCAACGTGGCTGGAAAGCAATAGTTTTCCCTGTGGAGGTTGGCTGCAGGGGTTTCCTTGTTACCTCCTCCATCAGGTTGTTCAAAGATCTGGGGATCCACAGAGAAGCCCTGCACCAGACCATGAAAGCACTTAAGGTGCACTCCTGAAGTTATGTTCCTAAAATCAGTTGGTTGACATTAACACCTGCTTAAATCTACTGGTAGTTGGTAAGTTAAATTCTGAAGACCTTCAAAGATACAAAGGATATTCACAATATTGTCCTATATTGTAAAATGATACTGTTTATGTTGTTCAGGTGTGTGGCTTATATCCAAATTTGAAAATATATATAACTCTTTTTTTTTTTTTTTTTACATTGCATGTCAGCCATTTCCTGCAGGCTGTTAACTGTCAGCCACTGGTGTATATTATCTGAGGAAGATGATGTTGTACGTATTGCATGTTCAAAACGCACTTAAATTAATCAACACTTCCTTGGGTCATTTAAAATTGATAAGCCAAGTGTGAAACCAATGGGACGAATCATTTGTGAGATGCGTTTCACATACAGACTTAGAAGAGCTTGTTGAATCTGATGTGGCATGTTGTATGATCTCACTGTTCATACTAAGGCAAGAAACACTAAAGAACAAGAATACAAAAATGTTTTTATACAAGGACCAATGCCAGTAGTGGTGCTGTACCTCTGATGAACCCACAGCTGCCAGTTCAGTCATGTACAAATCCAGGATGTGGAACTGCAGGCCGCTTGGCGCTGCACTGCCACCCTGAAGGAGCTGTGCTGTCAGCAACTCCAGAAACCTGCCTACCACACTGAGAAGACAGTCACTGGTTATTTACCTCAACATGATATGACATGATCACATAGACCTTCAAGAAGAAATATGTTAGCATTACCTGCTCTCCCAGTTTTTCCTCTTCAGCATCTCAAAGGTTTGTTTGAACATGAAGCGAACCAGCTGTCAAAAAGAAAAAAAATAAGCATTTTTTATTCTTTGAACAACCTGAAATTAACAACCACATGCATCTATGAAAAAGTTTTGCTTGAAGTATCTGTGTGCAACCAGTTGTATCTGTGTGACATTCCAGTTGGAGTACATGATTAACAGTTTAATTTTGACAGATCATCTCTGATTGGGCATTTTCTGTCACTGCTCACACAGTGTAAACAATTCTTAAAGGGATTGTTCACTGAAAAATTAATATTCAGTCATTATCTACTCAGCCCTATGACAAAGGAGGGGTGGGTGAAGTGTTTGAGTACACAAAACACTTCTGGTCGCCTTAGCTGAAACACCGTTTACCCATGAAACTCCTAGTGTTTTGTGGACTAAACACCCCTCAATCGGCATAGTGGTGAGTAGATGAGGGAATTTTCATTTTTCAGTGAACTATCCCATTCCCATAAAGTCAAATTCTGAAAGATCAAGCAGCAGACCGTCTGGTTGTCATACAGAAAAATGTGCTTATTATGGCAGTGTTCGGTTACCACTAACCTGGAAGAACTTGTCCATCCGCAACCTATCAATGCCAGTCCACTCTCTTTTGAAGGTCTGCAGGAAGCTCTCAAGGTATAAAAACTCTGCAGGAAACAGCACATTGTCATAAAATGTACAGATTACATGTTATGTGCAATGACTAGATTTTACTGCCTGAAATGAAATCACATAACATTATTTAATTATATGTAGGAACTTACGGCCATCTATATGATGGAAACTGTGGATCAGGGTGGAGATCTGGTTTGATAGGTCCTCCTATAAGGATAAAAGTGAAGAGTGTAACCCAATATTAAGAGTAAATATTAAACCAAGAGGGAAAATAGTTTACTCAACACACGAATAATCAAAATGTATGACAGGTACAGATTAAAATGTGTCTCATATGGGCTTTGAGCAGGTTTTCATTACCCTTTAAGATGTCAAGGGCACACATCAAAAGAGGCAAATGGCAGATCTGCAATCTTTTAGAATATATTTGTTCTTATAAAAACACTAAGCACCATCATGTTCACTCACAGTTGGTCCCGGAAAAAAAACAACTACGCTCTCGTTCAAATTCCTCATATATGAACCTCGTCCTCCAACCAGAAGGCCTGAATGGCCCCTCATAGGTGTTGAATGCACTAATTTGGAAGTCGCTTTGTATAAAAGCGTGTGAATGTAATGTAATTAAATACTCTTATTAACACTTTATATTAAAGAATTATGAAAGTCATAGGTTCTTACCTTATCTTACACTCAGTTAGAAACCTCATTTATTAAAGATGAGAAGTTGATATAGACTTTGCTATGTTTAATATGAACTAAAGAAGCCTCTTGGATTTGAGGTGAAACGTCTTGTAAAAACAAGCAAGTCCAGTTACATTTGTACAACTTCCGAAGATACTATGACCTTGATGACTAAGAATATTTAGAAAACCCCCAAAAAGAAAACAGGTAGCACGAACCTGGAGCAGAGGTTTGTCCTGCATCCACAGGCAGTAGAAAAGACCCTTCCATAGCTTGAGCAGTTCATCATCAGTGAATCCATCTGTACAACGGAAGTAAGGTTTAACTGTAACATGCTTCTTGAGTTTAGGAGATACGATCCTCTGTCACTTTATGTTAAAACAAGTGGTTAACGATCCAGCTATTTTTGCAACATTACTGCCAGTCTTGAATCTAAATCTTATTTACCACGACACGTGTACACTAACGAGCTTCCATATTTGTATTTTAAAACAGAATGAGCACATGACGTCAAACGGTCAGTTAAAACATGCATATCATCTCCACATCCATTTTAATCGGGGGTAATGTTAGTTTAGGGTTTACTCTGTATTTGAGCTGTTGTTACTAAGTCAGAGCTGGACACACACACATATCGGCTTACCTGTCGCTTTCTGTGACCTAACATTTATGTATTTCCTCAGTTTCTTTATAGCCTTGGTCCGGACCGGCTTCTCGTTGGAGGCTAGTTTCTGTGCGAACTGGACTTCTGGGTCCTGAACCGACGCCATGTTCACACAGCTTCACGTGGTGAAGTCGTCTCTTATACACTGTTCCCACGTTTCTCCACGCGGCACGGAATGATGACGTCTTCTTCTTCTTCTTCTTCTTGTTTAACGGCGGTTGGCATCCAGCTATAGCCGCATTACCGCCACCTTCTGCTCCGGAGTGTGGATCAGAAAATAGACAATCTAAATCCCCTAAAACCCCTGTATCTCTTAAAAAAGCTTATCGTACCCTCACCTCTTCTCTGTCGGCCATACTCAGTATTCCATTTTCCAGCACTCCTGCATCACTCTTTTTGCGAGAATTATTGTGCCCCTGCACATTTCAGAATCAGAAGTGGTAAGCCATCAGTTGCCTCCTTCTAAACTCCAGTGGCATTTTTCCCAATTCAACCTGTAGAGCATACTGGCGAAGATTTAAATGCCCCACTACAGACTCTTAATGCCTGGGCCTGAATAATATCAAATTTCCCCATGAGAGACTTGGCTGCTATATGCTATCCAACCATAATCTAACACAGATCAAATCAAGGCCACTAACAATCACTTCAGCGATGAGCAACTTGCTACTCATTCCTTACCAGTCAAACATCCAATTACATTTAAAAAATGTTGACTCTTTACTTCTATCATCCTAATATGATCTGCCCATGTCAATCGTAAATCAAAAAGAACTTAAAGGTTTCGACCATTTCTCTTTCCCATAGATCCTTAACTTCAATCCTTCCTCAATTCTTTTTGTTGAGTAAACAGGTCACCTGATATGTGAGAGCTGCCAGCAAAAGCTCAACATACTCATCAATGAACATCTGGATCTGCCTGATGCTGATCCCCATATCAGACTCATTAAACTCGTGAGAAGAGAGAATAGAGAAAATAGTGTTCGTGTTAATTTTACCCTTATACTAACATAACATAATACTTAATTTTCTCCTTCATACTATAACCAATTTTGGGGATTTTCTTTTCTTTTAGTTTTGTATTATATTTTTTCTTATATTTGGGTGAGGTTTTCATATGTCTCTTCGGTGCGCCGTAGAGAAAGGTCGCACTGACAATGGCTCCGCACGCACTACGCAGTTTTATGTTTATTTCGCTCTTTCTTGTTTGCTTTTTTGTACACACTGCACTGTCGCTCATACAGTATGATCGACTCGCACTTTTGGACATACGCTCTTCGCTAAATACGGAGTTTTTCTCGAGTTACCGGAGTGCTTGCTGCGGCCCCTTTGTTCTACCGCCGCTATGTTTACCAATACGCCGACGGAGAAG